ATGATCTAAATCCTTTTGTAAATCAGCAGCATCCTCTTCACAGCTAGCAACACCCAAGACCTTAATATCATCTGCAAAAGTTTATGGCTTATATTGTAACTAGCTAAAGGTAGAACAGGGTAGTATATTATGCAAGTTGTAGCATTTTATCTGGGAGTGAAATAAATGATTGTTTTTATCTGCTTATTTAAATTCAGTTTCTTTTTCAAATGTTTTATTTGCATATAATAAGGATTTTTCAGAAGTGGTGATACATTTTTAGAAGTGGTCAAACTTTAACTGCAAGGAAAAAACAAGGCCTTGAAGTGTGTTTTTATCACAGTAGCATTTAAGGTGACAAATCCTTGCAGAATTTTGCTTGACTTGTATTATTATATCGTTTTAGTAACACAGACTTAATGGTCCCATTTTGGTTATAAGATTAAGATTATGTAACAAGAGAAATGAGGAAATGCCTACTGATGTCAGCCCACCACTTTCTTGCTAGCTAAGACCCCTGTTCCTTTTACTGCTTTTTTATCGATGTAATGATAAAAGATTTCAAATTAGGAAACAAATTATATACCATATATATATATGAAATGAAATGTCACATACTTTAATACTGGAAAGACAAAATGGAAAAATTCAAGGAGAGTTAAAAGTCTGGTAGTAAAGCTTGAAAACTTTCATGTGTATGTTAAATACAGAAAATACAGGGATTAGTTTTCGTATGGTTGCTTGTGTGGTTGTTCAATGTTCAAAGGATCAAAATTATGGAGATTTACAATCTTTCAATGTGTACAAATTTATGAAAAAAAAAGGATTATTTAAACATAGCTATCATATTGTTGTATTAATGTTTTAGATGCTCAGAACTGTGGTTATTTAACCAGTTCAGAGGTTTTATACATAGAATAGACATGTGCTTAACATACCATTGGTGTTTATGTAAATAAAAAAACATTATGGTTAACATATAAAAGACAGGGTATTTGGAAGAAGAGATATAGTAGATGTTTTTGCTTAACCTTCATCGGGACATGCAGTGATTGTACATACAAGTGATGATACAACTTTTGTACTTAAATAAATAGTTTTTGTAGGCAGGGACTACTATAAATAATTTATTACCAACAGAATTTCTAAATTGTACACATTATGAACTGAAAAGGGTTATGTATTAGTGCTTGAGGCTGAACATAGTAAAATTATATTCTTTTTACACCACAAAAGAATTTTATAAGTTAAAAAGAGTAAACATAGCGAGCCATGACAAGGACATTATTTTATAATGTTTTAAAACTGGTAATACTGAACTAAAATACATGCAAGTTTTCATGAAATTAACATGAAATTCACCATATTTGTACATTACATGAATGAGTACACATTTGCAACTCTTGAACTATTGAAACTTGTTAATGAAGATATATTGCAATGATTTAGGATATAGAAGGTTATTATTGACATATGTGTATTTGTGTACATGCTGTATGTGACTACTTAGTAATTTGTATTAGTATTGATGCATGTTTATCAATTGGTGGTGTGATTATTCTGGTTAAAGTTAGTGATTTTTGGAGCACGTGTGTTACTATAGGGATACATGTATATGATTGTTACAGTGAAGGTGTATGACAGTTTGATATAGGATGTGACATGTTTATTATTTAAAAATCAGAAGAAGTGATTATTTCTCTATATAAAATACTAGATATGATTTAACATGAAATACTGTGTATAGTTTTGGTCTCCTTATCTGAAAAAGAGTATTGATTTATTGGAAAGGTTCATAGGACAACTACAAGGATGATTCCAAGAATGGAAGGGTTATCTTATGGGGTTAAGTTAACTTATTTTATCTTGAGAAAAGAAGGGTAAGAGGTGATCTTATTGAAGTTTACAAGATTATCTGAAGGATTGATAAGAAATAAAGGCCTCTGAGCACTTTTTGCTTTGTTCTGAAGACAGTAGGTGCAGCAGATACAAAGTTAAGACTTGGAAAAGACAGGCTATGTTCCAGTTAAGACAGTTTTCTTTTTCTAACAGGGTAATTAGTTTATGGAATGAATTGTTGTCAGCAGTAGTGGAGGCCTGAATCTTACAGAAGTTTATGAGGGGAATTGATAATTTATTGAAAAATAAAGGGTGGGTTTAAATTTATATTTTCTTTCTTTCTCATGAGTGGGAGTGCAGGGACAACCTTGGAGAACCAAATGATCCCTTGTTGTCCATATGTTATGTTACTTTTGAAATACACATATACTGAGTCCTGGTGCCCTAATATGCCTCCTAATAAATATATACACACATATACACATACAAACAGTGTATTTTATTATGTGTGTGACTGGCTGATAGGGTACATATATGTGACTGCTGAGGTAACTCAAGTGCATGCAGGCTGTGACTAAATGCTATACTGAAAGGCACATGTACATTAACTAATGAGATTTCTAGTTAAGGAGGTTATGGGTGCATGTTTGAATACACATACAATGTGCATGTTTAATTTTTAGTGAGGGACCTACTGAACTGAATATTTAATTCAAAAATACAATAACAGCAACTTTTACAGTAAGCAGGTTTGATTTTAACAATTTTGGTGTTTCAACCTATAGTACTGAGTCATCATCAGGTAGAAGTAACCTGATGATGACTTGATACTATGGGTTGAAACGTTACAATTATTAATATCCAACTTGCCTACTGTAAAAGTTGCTGTTATTGTATTTTTGGAATAATGTGCATGTTTGTTTGGTTGTCAGAAGCTGAATGACTTTTTGGTTTCTGCTCAGTATAGACACAGAATGCCTAGCTAGATTGAAGCTGGCTTCTCAGTCTT